TACTTCTATAAGTGAAGTTACTAAACTACAGTATTTTTATTTCACACCACAGTCTCAAATAGGTTTTCTGACATTATTGCAGCATGCTTCATTTTTTTAACTTTACGGGCGACAACAAAGAAGTTTTTCAAAAATAAAATTAATCGAAGCTTATTTAAGAAGCAGCATGTCACAACACCGTCTTAACTCTGGTTACTATATCCAGGGGCGGATCTACATAGAAACTAATAGGGCTTAAGCACAAAAAATTTAATTCTGTGATTTGCCAAGTGTCTGTATACAGTAGATCCCCCTATAAGACGGGTTCCTATATTACGATTCATATAAGACGGCGAAAAAATTGTGGCGGTATCCGTAAACATCGGTAAAAAAAACTCCTATAATTACGTAAAACATCATCGGGCAGCCGAACTACTTTCCGCCGTCCAGCGCCACGCTACGGACAGTTTAGGCGAGTAAATTGAGTTTAGTATCGTCTGTACATATAATTATATATCAATTATATATAAATTATATATAAGTTAGGTACTGTATATATAATTATATATTAACTTAATTTATTGTAACTTTATTATAATTATATATATAGTTTTCGCCGTCTAGCGCTACGCTACGGAGAGTTTAGGCGAGCTATCGTCTGTACAGTATGTAAATTAGGTACCGTAAGTCTAATACAGCACTGTAATTTTATACATTTCTTGTGAAAGAAACATTTCTTATTCAACGGCCATAAAAATTATTTATATTAATGATGTCTCCAAAGTTCAACGAAGTTTTCGCAGAAAAATAATATCAGAAATCGCGGCCGCGGTTTGATGCGCTGTTCCGCGACGAAACCAAGCTTTAGCAACGGGCGTAGTCGAACGGTACACACTCGGTAAGCAATCCTACAATTTTTTGTTTATAACGTAGTTTATACGGATTATTTTCAAAAAAATATACGTATTTTGGAAATGTTGAGTCGAATTAGTCTAGAATCGATTAATTTTATGGAAGAAAATCTTTCAAACAGCCGTAGTCCGTAAACTTCACACGTGTCGGGCTGTAATTGGCTGTGATTCCTACAAAATTGATTCATAAAGAACGGAACGTATCTACCGTCTTATAGGGGGATCGACTGTAAATACAATAAATAATTTGTGTTTGGATTACAAAAAATTGAATTATCATAAGTTTTTAATACTTTTCCATTAACAATGAGCATTTATCGTATAGTAAAAAATAGTTAATATTAATAATAATATCATAATGATAATTTATAGTATTATTTGTATTAACAAAAAATGGGTTCTCATTGGACTTCAATAAGCACTAGACTTCGAAAAACCTAGATCCGCACCTGACTATACCAATTGAAAAAACAATGGCTTGTCAACTTGATCTGAAGAAAGTGATTGATCGATTTGCAAATCAATTTGCGAAAAAGCGGCAAATCAATTTTAAAGTTTTTTAATGTATTATGTATTTCTTATAAAACTAAACTTGCTTACATTTTGTCAATACAGTTTATATAATATGTAGTAAATACCAGTATTATTAGGTACTCAGTACTTAAAGAATTATATTTTGTTTATTATTATATTTATACTAGCAGATCAACCCGACGTTGCTCGCGCAAAAAGTAACGATAGCAAAGATTAAGATTATTAGATTATAGATTATACTCGTTTTCATTGGGTGCAAGAATTAGGTCCTCTCTTCCGAGATTAATTAGAGAATTTTTAGATAGGTCTAAAAATATGCTCGATTTCTCGCAAAAACGCACAATACCACATCTAAAATAGTAGAGTAGAAGCTAAATTCTTCAGGGTAATCCTTAACCGTTTTCCTCTCCACCCGCGGGGAAATTTCGAAAAATCCCTTCTTAGTGTGCATTGGCGTGGCATATCCTAACCCTATGATTTATTAAATTGAATATCTTATTGTTGAAATGCCTTGAATCTCAAATAAATTGTCATTAAGTAAGGTTTTAAATCGAAATAATTAGATATGTTTTTAAATTAAATGTTCAAAATAAATTTTGCGAGACCTCTTCCGAGGAACAAGGGGCGCACCGATTCGACTTGCTCCAGAGCGCTGAATATATAGCTACGTCACTAATCTTGAAATAAAAAATATGTACAGTATATATTTATTAATATCCAATGGTTTTTCGTGTTCTAAAAGTATAAAGGCAGTTCTTTATAATTTCTGTCTAAATAAACAAATTACTAGTTGAGACGCATAGTTATTTGCATGGGTCCAGTGAACAATTTACTTCTATGTATTTGTTGTACTCCAATCTGACATCATGACCAGATGTTCGTTTTTGAAAAAGGTAGAATAACCATTTTGAAAACTAAAGAAAGTCAAATCGAAAGATTGCCAAACATCTAGACAGATCTGTCACTGTAGTTGACAAGTTTGAATCAAAAAGTGATAAATATAACACCAAAAATCAATAGGAAGACTATCAAAGTTATCAATAAGCTTTACAAGTATTAAGGAAATTTCTAACAACTGTACAAGTTTTAGATCTTTGTCATCATGTCCAGATATTTCTGTAAGCAAATAAAACCTATCATGGATTTTAAAGACTTCCAAACGACTATAGTATAAGAAAAGAAAGAGCCATCCGACTGATTGTCAGACAAAACTATCAGACTAAGTTGGCCAGAGAATTAATGTCTTAGACCAGGTGTGTCAAACTCATTTAAACAACGGGCCATTAATGCGACTGGTAAGATTCAAGCGCGCAACATCATATTTACAAATTTTCTTAAAATTATAATTTGAAGTGAGAATGCAGGAATATAGATAGGGCAATTAAAACACACTATGTAGTTCAGTGAATTCAACTCAACAATATATAATTGCTATTGCTACAGTATTGCTTTTATTTAAACATTTATTTTATTTCATGTACGTATTTATAAAACTAAAATTAATTGTTTTCACCGGAAACCTGCCAGCAATAACTTCCTCCTACTACTAGTTTTCCAATATCTGGATTCAAAGACTGACAACAAGCAATCTTTATTACGGCAGATAGATGTTTATCAGTTAATTTTGATCTATAAGCCATTTTATTTAATTTTAGAGCATCGTGGCCCCGCGGGCCACAAAACATCACATTAGGGCCATCAGTTTGACATCCCTGTCTTAGACTATCAAATGGAAACAGGTTGTGTTTAGGAATCCGGTCAAACCACTCTCCAAAAAAATTCCTGGAATTTTTTGACCCGTCTGAATTCGATCCCTAGTCCCCCAAAGCAGTAGGCTGCTATCTTGAACGCACGGCTATTCGGATATTTAATTCGTTATATTAGTAACAATTACTGATATAATGTAATTTCCTTTGTAATTTCTGTGCTTTCCAACTTTTTACAATTGGATTCAAATATAAAATTTCCCTTTTATTACTCAAAATGTTAAAAATGATCAATATTAGCGGCTATAAATTTACTTTTGATTTTATAAAGATAAATTTTTTTGTAGATACAAATAGGCATAACTGTGTAGGTTTTATCTATTGCATAAATTTTGGGAACTGATAAAGGATTTGTCGACTTTTTACATAAATACAGGGCGGAAAGAGTTTAAAAAATTGTGGTCCATCACATTTAAAAATGATCGTTGTCCGTTCCCAAATGGAGTCGAAATTCTTCGCTAATAGCAATGTGCTGCTAGTCCGTAGTAATCTATGCTTTTCTGTCACGACATCAGTGCAAGCAAAGCTATGTTGGATTGCTAATGACAGGACACGTAGCTGTCATCATGTATGCAAATTTAAATCTATTAGTTGCATGTCAGTGATACAGGAAGAGACAGGGTTCTATAGCGAGTCTTTCATCTGTCTCTGAATGGTGGACAAAGACGCCGTTGCAGTTGTTCATGCTTGTTTCACATTCAGGTGATCGTGTTTTCTACTGGTCTGTCTAGGTGTCTAGGCGTCTGCCCGCTTTGTCCACCTTACACGGAAAGCAGGAATACTACCTTCAACATTTCATGGTCCTGGCGGCCATCCTGCTTCCTTCAGCCCGATGATATGGCCTTTCTCAAATTCCGCCAGCTGTGCTTAATGTCTTTGCGACGTACAGGAATACCATCAAAACAAGCCAAGTTTTGTAGTAATCGGACAATTTTATCTAGATTTGCAACTTTTTGTCAATGAGTGTATTAATTAATTTTTGTCTAATAGGTCCAAAATAATAGGCTACCTTATATGGCCGCACAATGGTTGAGGCAGCTAAAGCGCGTGTCCTCTTTTCCTGGAGACCGAAATTCGAGTCCAGATCAGATCCTAAATATGTATTCATGTATAATCTAATCTCTCCCTCCCTCTCTCTCTCTCTCTTTATAAATCTTTCCGCCCTGTAGGTACTTAGAGGGCCTCTTTATGCAAGTCCATTATGGGTTCGACCAGGCTCAGGCCCACAATGGGGCGGCCGGGTGGTAAGGGATGGGTCCAATATAACCGGACGGATCACCCTCAAAAAATTTCTTGGAATTTTTCGACCCCTTCGGGACTCGAATCCGGGTCCCCAGAGCGGTAGGCTGCCACCTAGACCGCTCGGCCATCCGGCCATCTGTATAATCTGATTATGATATGTCGGTCATCCACTTTCATCACCCGGCATTGAGGATCTGGCCGAACGCACGACGAACATAAATATGACTCTTTTAGCGTCAAATAAAGAAAAAATAAATAAATAAAAAGAGCCAAGAACAGTGAAAGTAATCCCGATTAAAACTGTAATTGGTTTGTTCTGATAAAAACTCTAATGTCTCCAACATACGAACGACCATCGAATTTACCACGTTGCATGTCGTTCTCAACTATACATTTTTAATTATTTTAAATATGTGATTGTTAACAATCACATATTTTAGAACATGGTCATCATCCCCCAAAATTTTAAAATATAAATGAAATTAATAAATTTAAAGTTTATATAGCATTTAAATTAGTACTCAAGTATCATATTCCAAATAAAAATTTGAAATGCTTTCCGAGTAATTGATTCGAAATTATTTTTAAAATTAAAATAATATATTTCGATATTATAATCATCGTTTCGCTTCAAAAACATATATTTTTAAAAAAAAAGTGTATTGAGTTTTGGGCGGTAAAAATGATACAATGCAGAAACAAAACGAAAGCAATATAGAAAGATGGCTTCCAAAACACCTTGCCAGGTATTGGATACCAGATCAGAGCTTGCAGAACTTGTTAAAAGAAGAAGCGAAATCGCAGTAAGTACATTATCATTACAAATTACAATTATTATTCGTACGTCACAATGAACTTTCGTAGATTTTGCAATACACGTGTATAAATAAATGCATCATTTTTAGCGCCAAAAATAAAATTCGTTTTCGATTAAAAAATAAAAAAATATTCTTATATGCAAATGCTTTATTAAAAAAACCTGCATTATTAAATGATATGTAATTAAAATAAAGATGAGATAATTAATTACAATTATCATAATTGTTTCGTCAACGACTGTTGTGTGTTTTACAGGAAGTGGTGGCGCTTTCGACGATACAGTTCATTGCTTTGCCGGGAATGACGCCATTATTTATATTTGTAGACAATTGTCACGTGTATACAAACAGAAGGCACCTTTCGATGTTATATATCATCATATTTTAGAATTCTGATTTAATTAATTTATTAAGCATCCTCTGTAATATATAAACGGAAATAAGAATTTTGCCTGTTTAAAAATTTAATTTTTATTTATTGTATACTTTAAATGCATTTAGAAATATACATACATTATACAAACTCTAATAAATATTTGAATTAGGACGTTCGACATTTTATAAATTTATACTAAATTTGTTTCAAAATTTATACTAATTATTCATGCATATGAATAATTGGCAAATGAATGTATGCTTGAAAGTAATTTCAAAATTAGTTATTTTACTTTGAAAAGTATATAAATATAAAGAAGGATGAGTGTCCTGAAGAAAAGTTGAGAGAAAAGAAGACAAAATTTAAACACAAACATGTCTACAAACACCTCATGCAAACACAATGGTACAAAAAAATTTTTCTTTTTATGATTTTATGGTATTCTATGTAAAGTCGTTTTCTGATATTAACATTGTGTGATATGTTTATACAGGTTGACCATCACATATCTGACATAATTGGGATCTGAATCTGCCAGATTAGTGATTTTTATCAGATCAGATAATGGATGGATTAGTATACACTTTACCATATAATTCACACAAGCTTTTCACAAACATCACTGTTAACTTTTTTAGTTTACCCATATCTTTTATGGACAACATAATGGTGTTTGCACTTTATACCACAAGAAGCACTTCCTTTATTCATTGGAACCAAGGCCAAAGCTAATGGACAACAGGTAATAACAATAAATGAAAAAAATATATATATATTCAAATAGGAATGGTTTGCAAGTGATGTCAAGTGTTGATGCAGCAATAGTACCACTAAATAGTAGTGGCAGATTGGCATGGCTATCATGGAAATTTGAAACTACTAGCCAGAATTAGTGATAGTTAACTTGTACCTGTTTTTGTTGTTTGTTAAAAATACAACACTTGGGTGAACTGCCTAGGGAGATGCCTTCCGGGAGATCTTTTAAGGCAGGGGGGTCGCCAAACTTTTTTATCATTGACCCCCTACAACTTTTCAAAACCTTGCATCAACCCCACCAAAAAGTTTGTGTTACAAGCAAAAACAAAAAGCACTTACTATTTTAATATATATCTTTTAATTTTACATTTTTTACATTTATTGTACAGTACTGTACTGTACAGTACATATGTTAATAATAATTTTTGTAACTGACAATCAATAAGACGGATAAGCTTGATAATTTTTAGCAAGATTAGCAATATTCGGTTCAAAATTTGTAAGTTTTAGTCTTTTTGTCGACCTCCCAATAATGTTATATCGACCCCTGGGGGTTGATGTAGACCACTTTGGCAACCCCTGTTTTAAGGGAAACTGGTCCCTATTTAGGCATTACAGATGTGGAGAAAACCCAGAAAACTCCACATGGCCAGCCCGTCTGAGCGAGGCATGAACCCATGATCAAACTTCCAGTGTCCAGGGTACAAAGACTGCTTGGCCACTAGTGAGCCTTTAACTTGTACCAAATTATATAGTATATATCAACTTTTTGAAGTTTTAAATTTATTCTTTATTCTCTTTTACAAGTAAAGTTTATAAGACTGGAGTTAACTCCCCAAAATTAACAATAACAAAGCCCATTAAAAAGATAACATAGAAAAAAACAAATAAGTATTAAAAACAGAGAAAAGTACATAGCAGTACAAAAATCATATACAATGTAAAAAATATAATGAAATAAAAACTACATTTAAAAATATTACAATGACTGAACTATTTAGTATATAAAAGTTTTTGTAAAAAGCAGTAAACAAAAGTAAAATAATATTAAAAAAACCAAATTTTAAAAGTAAATAATACTAAAAAAATGGTAATTAAAATTTACAATGGAGAGGTAGCTTTTGAAAGACTTATAAAGTAAAATACAATCAAAGTAAGAAATCCAATGAGACAGGAAGGATGCACTGAATCTAGATCTAGCAACTTTATCAGAAGAAGTAAGAGGCAAATATGATAATTTATTAAAAAGAAAGTAGACCTTTCTCTAAAGAATTTGGTATTTTTTGTATAAGAGCAGGAACAACAGAGTACAGAAAAGGTAAACAGTCTATAATTGATTGAAAATTGACAAGAATAAAAATAGAATAGTTTGTAAAGAAGTCAATAGTACCAAATTATACCTCTTTTAATAGCCAAATTTTTAATAACCTTCTCTATATGTTTAGAGAATGTTAACCACTTGTCAAGAAGAATGCCTAGATTAGAGACTGCTTCAACATATTTGATTTGGTGCCCTTTAATATAAATTAGATTTAGGGGTGAATTACTGATTAGTGCAAAGCACATTATAGTTTTATCAAAGTTAAAGGAAAGATTATAGGACTCAAGAACTTTAATTAAAATGCAAGAGTCTGTAAAATTGTGAGATCAGTTAATGACTTTGACATCATCAGTACATAAAATAAGATGAGAAGATAAATTAAAATTAGATATAAAATTCATGTATATGATAAAAAGTTTACTAACTACTAAGAACAATGCCCTGAGATATAGCACAGATGGGAGAGAAAGGATAAAATGTAAAACTTCAGTGCCCACCTTTGAGGCTGTAATGCTGGCTAACTCGCTGCTTCTAAAAGAGGGCTTTAACATCCAACAGGTGCTCGATATACGTGATGCCCTCACCTTCGTCACTGAGCACAATTACTTCCGTTTCAACCAAAAGATCTTTTTACAAAAACAAGGGGTCCCCATGGGTTCCCTTTATCTGCTATCCTAGCGGAACTTGTTATGAGAGAGATTGAGCAGAGAACGTTCAATTCCCCGCTTGCCATCCATTACCCGAGGCTGTATTTGTGTTATGTTGACGACATCCTCGTAGCATGGGAAGACACAGAGGAGTCGTTCCTCATCTTTATGCAACAACTCGCAAGTATATATCCTTCCATCAATTTTACTTGGGAGAAAGAAAGCGATGCGGAAGTAGCGTTCTTAGACTTGCGTAGACATAAATTTTCGGATGGACTACAATTCTCGGTCCATCACAAATCTAGCATAGCTCCGCACATTATACCAGCAGAGGCCTTTCAGCCTTCTCGATATGTTAATACTGCCATTGCCTCCCTTGTCAGAAGGGCTTATTTACTGTCGTCTATGCAGGAGCTGATAAGCATCGAGTTAGATATCATCAATTTGGCAGTACGCGCTGCTGGCTTTTCACGTGCAAAGTTTACGCATGTGCTGAATAAGGTAAAGAAAGCACTGTTTCCAACTACTACTTTATGCAGCAAGAGAGAGTCTTCATAGGTACAAATAGCGTTGCCTTACCTTGGACCCCTATCTTTACGCATCTGCAGAATCTTTAAGCAGCGCAACCTTGTACTACCTTTAACCCCACTTCCAAGCCTACGCAAACTTATTTGTAATGATAGAGACAAATTTTCCACCCTTGAGAAATCAGGGGTCTATGCTGTACCTTTGGAAAATCAGGCAACGGGAGTAAACACAAGATATATCGGGGCCACCGCTAGAATGCTTTCCAGCCGCCTTGATGAGCACCAAGACGATGTTAGGAGGGGAAGACACATCACCGAGCTCGCAAGGAAGGTACTTGAGCAGGGTTGCAACCCGCTATGGTCCCAAGCGGTTATGCTCAAGAGCTGCAAGGATCGAAAAACTGTTTTTATATGGGAATCTCTCCTCACTACCACCTTGAACACTTGCAACACCCCTACGCTCGAGCTGCCTAGTGTATGGGTCACGCTGTATAAGCGTTTAAGCGAGTATTAGCAGTCTCTAGTATGCATGTAGCGTGAGCATGGCTCCGCGCATGCGCCAGCTCACACTTCACGGAGTTATCTGCTCGTTCGGTTTTCGAATTATGTTTAAATTATTACTTCGTGTTCTTAACGGCTTTAACATAATTTTAGCCTATCTTATGTGTTATATTCTGCATTCGATTATTTTCTGTTTAAAATTTTTTGGTAAATATCTGTATTCGCCTGAGGACAACGACAATAAGTTCGTTGAAAGTGCTAGCAATAAAAAAACGCATGTAATGCTGAACTCAGTGTCTTTGTTTTTGCTATTATACAGTACATACTTGTAAATGTATATATTTTAATATGATTTTATGTGCTTTAAACGCTTTTCTAGTGATATTACGATTTCAATATTTGTGGCGGACAGATGTAAAGTTGAATAAAATAACTTAAACTTGATTTTTTATTTTTCCATATACTTTTTTGACAAGCGACGTATAATCAGGAAAGACATGACTCGAAACGACGTAAGTCGAGATATACTTGTAGTTATTTTAACCAATTTACAGCTTTATAGTAAATATCATAGTGGTTCCTTAAAACATTGATTAAACAGGACCCATCTTGTTTAATCAGTGTTTAATGTTGATATAAATAACAAAATTATTGTCTCAAAATTATTTTTAATGAATGAATGAAAATGCAAAGGGTTAGTGCACATGAAACAACGTTGTGGGCCAGTGTTTATAGCTAGGGTTATAAATGAATAAAAAAAGACCAAAGACATAATATGCAAAGATTTTTAACGTTATCAGGGATAAATATATAGGATGATAGGTGTTTGATCCATGCTTTAGGGTAGCAATAATGTAAGGAACATTAAATTAAAACAAAAAATAACTTAATTTATACCCTTACATAATACCTGCCACATCTAACTGTCAGAGTATATTAACAATGCCATTGCTGCACTTATTCAAAAGGCTAGACTACTTCCATTGTCACACTATTTAATATATAAGGAATTACAGATTATAGCAACAGCAATTGGCAAAGCAGGATATATGCAAAATTTAAACATATCAATAACTGGGTATGTATGTCACTCTTCCCACCCACAGCATTGATTGCATACATTTATAACTCTTTCCATTCCATATCTAGGGCCCATTTTATTATGCATCACCAAAATTTTAAAGAAATATGGGCTTATTCTTCCGATTAAACTGCAAATAACCTTGCACAGGCTTCTCTGCAATGACAGAGATGTATTTTCCACTAGAAAAATTGGGAGTTTATTTGGTTCTATTACAAAAGTAGATTGCAATGCAAATATAAGAAAAAGACCAGAGACATGAGGCATTCTTTTACATCAAGGCCATAAGAAGAATATTACAAATCCATCTTACTGAACACCAGAACAACAAGTGCACTACAGAACTTTCTAGGAGTGTGCTAGAAAGAAATTGTGTGCCGAAATGGAATACAACTTTGCTGCTAATGTAATGTGTTGACAAAGTTACTTTATCTGGGAAGCATTATTTATTGAAAGATTGGAACCCTGTAATAGATCTATGTTGGATCTCCCAAGAATTTGGGTATCACTTTTTAAAAATTTGGGAATTTAACATTTATGTCTCCACAGTATTACCTATTTGCCATAATTCTAAATTTACTAATGACATATAAATGTAAATGTTTATCTTATTATTTGATCTAATTTTATTGTTATTTCATATTAATTTATCTTTATTCCATTTTTGAATATTTAATGTTTTTTTTTTTTTTTTAAATTTTATCATAATGTTCTAAAGTTATGTTCTTTGCTTGAAGATAACATTGATAAAATGTCAAAAGTGCTTGTGTTCATATCAGGAACAGTCATTTCAAAATGAAACACTTGGGGAAAATTACACTAAGCTTGAGTTAGCTACACATAGTCACCACACCTGTTGCGACTTTTATCCCAGTATGAAAGGAGATGAAAAATGCCTCTGGAAGAATACTCTGGGTTGCTGCTGGAACTCTGGCCTTCATGTTATTGTCTGATTTGAATTGATGGTCTTTTAGGGCTTGTTTAATGCTCTAAAAGACCATCAATTCAAGATCACCGGCTTCATAATGTTACACGGTAGCTTGACGTAAGGGTTACTATTATAAACAGTATAAAACTCTATCTTACTACTGTTATGGTATGTAGATATAATTTATTTTGTAAACAATTACCCTATTATTCCACTAATTTTAATACTGTTTATAATAGTAACCCCTACATCAAGCTACCGTGTAACATTATGAAGCTGCCTTAAGCCTGCCTCCTCTACACCCATTTATTGTTCAATGATCATACCTTTATAACGGTTCCTTTGTCTTGTATAATTTTAAGTACAGTGATACCCCGAACTTACACGATAGGTGGGACCGAGCGATAACCGCGTAAGTCGAATTCGCGTAAGTCGGGGTATAATTTTTCAATGTGTGTAAAATCCAAGTCGGATGTATGTAAGCTAATAAATGTTCTCATTAATCTTATCTCGTCTTTTGATTTGTTCATGGTTAGAAGAAATCACCACATACAGTCTCTCAAGTCTCCGTAGATATAACAAACACAGAAATAAATAACACAAAATAAATTGTGGCTATGTGTCGATTCCGCATGACACGTCTGAACATGTAAGCCAAACAAAAGTTTTTACGGCTAAGGTTTTTACGCTAGTGGAGTCTTGGCCTTAACCCATAATTATTGACATATAATAAACAAAAGAAAATTTGAAATATGTATTTAAAATTCTAAAAAAATTTTGTAAATCATTTAAATGTTTACAAAATAATAATAAAAAAAAACAATCAAGGATAGAATTCTNAAAAGTTTTTACGGCTAAGGTTTTTACGCTAGTGGAGTCTTGGCCTTAACCCATAATTATTGACATATAATAAACAAAAGAAAATTTGAAATATGTATTTAAAATTCTAAAAAAATTTTGTAAATCATTTAAATGTTTACAAAATAATAATAAAAAAAAACAATCAAGGATAGAATTCTATTCAGTCTAATATAAATTTTTACTGCACTCTAAGAACCTATAACCAGTGTGATTTAAAAACAAAGGATAAAGATCACCACAAACGTGTTCGAACTGCTGTGAGTACTTCCTCAGGTGTGAAACTGAATTACTTTGTTTTTATATCACACCGGTTATAGGTTCTTAGAGTGCAGTATTTTACACATCCTGGTGTTTTGCAGTGTAGTGTAGTATAAATTTTTACATTTATAATTATTTATGGAACTGAATTGCATAACATATAAGATTTCAGTTGTCTGCTTTATATATTTTATTATTAATTTTGAAATTATTAAATTCTACAAATTATAATTTATCTTTTTTCAGGAGACATTAGCCAATCTTGAAAGACAGATCTATGCCTTTGAAGGAAGTTATTTAGAAGATACACAGTTGTATGGGAATATCATCCGTGGTTGGGATAGATATTTAGCAACCAATAAGTGAGTTCATTAATTTGTTTTGTTTTAAAATTTCAAGAGAGGGCTATAATTTATATATATATATATATATATACACAGTAGAATCTCCTTTTAATGGATCACAGAATAACATATTTTTTAGAATAACAGATTTTTTTCTCCAGGTTCTGCCAAATCAATGTAATTTTACCTCTTTATAGTGGACCTGTAACTTGTAATAACATATTTTCTTCTATCTCCATCTTCAGTAGACATTGTATTTTTTTCAAACTTTAATTAATAATTGGATGTTTCTGGATACTGAATTAAAAAATACAAGGTCTGTTCAAAAAGTATCGGACCTTTGGTCGGTAAAAATAAATTTATTTATTTTCAGGTACAAAACCCTAATCCCCTTCAAAGTACTCTCCTTGGTAATCTATACACTTCTCCCAGCGTTTCTGCCATCGCTGGAAACACCGGCGGAACGCATCTTTTGGAATGGCCATCAGCCGGTTCGTCGCATTTCGCATGATGTCTTCTCTTGACTCAAATCGGGTTCCTTGTAGCGGCATTTTCAGCTTGGAAAATAGCCAAAAGTCACACGGAGCCATGTCGGGAGAATATGGAGGGTGACGAACCACAGGAATGTTATGTTTGGCAACGAAAGTCTGAATCAGATGCGCAGAATGGGCGGGTGCATTATCATGATGGAGCTGCCAAGTTTTGGTTGACCACAGATCCGGTCGTTTTCGTCGCACAGCGTTACAAAGACGACGAAGGACCTGCTTGTAGTAATATTTTGTGATGGTTTGGCCTTGTGGTGCGTACTCATGATGCACCACCCCTCGGGAGTCGAAAAAAACTGTCAACATGACCTTGACTTTGCTGCGGACCTGTCGCGCTTTTTTTGGCCTCGGTGATGTCGAATGTTTCCACTGTGACGACTGCTTCTTGGTTTCTGGGTCGTACCCATAAACCCACGACTCATCACCTGTGATTATGGTGTTCAGAAAATTGGGATTACTACTTGCATTGTCCAGCATGTCCTGTGCGATTTCCAGACGTCTTTGCTTCTGCTCCACTGTTAGCAGTTTCGGTACGAATTTCGCGGACACTCTCTTCAAACCCAAATCCTCGGTCAAAATTGAATGTACCGATCCAATGCTTACTCCTGTCTCGTTCGCAAGTTCTCTGACTGTCATCCGACGGTCCATCATGACTAAAGTCCGCAATTGCTCAATGACAGTCTCATTTCGGCTTGTTGAAGGTCTGCCTGAACGTGGTTTGCTGTCCACTGATGCGCGGCCATCTTTGAAGCGGTTGTACCATTCTTTTATCCGTGTCTTGCTCATGGCATCGTCCCCAAAAGCCTGTTGAATCTTCCGAATGGTTTCCACTTGGGTATCGCCAAGCTTTTGGCAAAATTTGATGCAACATCGCTGCTCATTTTGTTCGGTCATTTTCTAACGTACTGAAATGCGACGAGCGGTCACTACACGTCCTCACTCATGGGACGATTGCCAGCGACTGACGCTTCCCGCTGGCGGGAAAAAATTCAGGACTGCGCATGACTGTCTCCTACACATCTTGACCGAAGGAGACCTCTCGCGCATTATTAGTTTACGCGGAAAAAAAAAAGGTCCGATACTTTTTGAACAGACCTTGTATATATTGCATGCTGTGCAAACTAAATGCATAATTGTCACTGTTCTCACTGCTAAAGTTGCAGCTGCCCATTAGTGCCCTCCTGTAGTGTGTTGATTAGTGGCAGGAAACTACTTTTGGCTTAACACTTCCAGATATGCACATGTGTGCAACAAAGGTGTGGCACACATTTGTTGCAGACACGTGTTCCCAAATATTGCACCTTGAAATCTTGCTTGCATAACAGTAACATTTCGTACTGATGATGCCACCAAAAGAAGCCCAGAAATGTTGCATCATTAAAGTTTCAAAGCAAACCAAGATGGACAAGTACAAATTTTTTAATATATCGTGCTAATGATCAATTGTATTTTGTCACTTTTGGCTAATAACATATATAGTTTCTGTCAGCTTTGTTACAGCATAATGCATGATCTTGTAATATACATGTTTGTATATAATAAAGGATAGAAATCTCAAGAGAATGAATAATTTTGAGTACAGGTGGTTTTTTTATGTAGGGAGTTTAAAAAACAAAAATATTTTCAAATAACAGATATTTTCCTGGGAGTGCCAGAAATTTGTTGTTCATGATATAATAGATTTTCACAACAATGGTTGATTTTCAGTGCCCTGGGCAATTTGTTAAAACGAAGTTTTACTGTATATATATTTTATAAATGTACAAATATGATAATAAACAAAGAATAATATATGTATTTTTTCCAGTTTTCATTATTTATTTACTATAATTATATTTAGTTAATATTTGTTTCTATTATGTTTACGTTACAAAATTTATGTCAGACTGACTAAGTTTTTGAAGGGATCTTAGATCTCAGTAATTTAAGAACCACTGTTTTAAACAGTTTTAGTTTCATCTAAAAAAAATGGCTGATGTAAATTTATTTGTTATTGGATAATTAATTGTAGATGTTTTTTCAAACTTGTGAACCTAACTGTTTTGGGAAATAACAATCAATATTTAAATAATTATAACTTGCACAAAAATAAATTTTTTTAAAATGCAATAATAGGACTTGATTTATTTTTACAGAATAGATATTTTATAATGAATTAATAAAAATACTAAAAACTAATTTATTATTCTTAGCTCAAATGTGAAATTTAAAGTTGTGTAAAAAATCAACTTTATCATAGTACTTACATAAAAGATGCTTCGAAAGTATGCAATTAGATTGATGGAAATAAATAAATGATTACTTAATAATAATTATTTTCAGAATATAGCATATAAGATTTGTCCAATAATCTTCTATATCTGTAAATGAAGATGTTTGTTTGTTTACTATGCATTCCTAGGCCAATTTGACCAATTGCTATGAAACACAGCAATTACTTTAACATACTTTTAACTTAGATAACATTGTACATACCATTCCGAAATATTAATTGAATTTGTAATTATCAATTAATTTTTCTCCACATTCAATTTGCTGGATTTACATGTAGTGTCATCTATTGGCTAGAAAATTTAAAAAATAATAAACTAAATATAATTCATGCAAAAAAGAATATAATTAAAACAATTATATTTACTTAATTACTTCTACAATGATGTAGCAGGAATTAGATGCAGTATACAGGGTGTTTATAAATGAATGGTTTGGTTTTAAAAATTAATAATCAGTCTATTTATTAGAGAGGTTGCGGCCGATGTTTTCAACGCGAAAACTTGTACGTCGAACGTTCAGCGCTGCTTTCCTGTAAACCTAGAAGTTTGACAATGCCGTTTGAAACTTCGATCATGATTCCACTGACGTTCCAAACGGCATTGTCAAACTTCTAGGTTTACAGGAAAGCGGCGCTGAACTTCTGAGGTACACGTTTTCGCGTTGAAAACGTCGGCCGCAAACTCTCTATTACCTTATATGGACAAACCTTACAGCATAAGTTGCAGCAACTGTTCAAGTTTTTTATGCATTAATTACAATCCTTCAATATGTGCACCCATGGTCATTCGACACACATCTACATGGTAATTAAATTCTTTCCCTACGTGGTGTAGCATGTCCTCCGTGATGGTCTGCAGGGCATGCTTTATCTGATTACACAGTTCCTCAAGGGACACAGGCATTGGCGGTACATAAACTTGGTCTTTAACAAACCCCCACAAAAAGAAATCACAAAGTGTTAAATCCAGAAAACGGAGTGGCCAGGGGAGCAGGTTATTGTCTGCTGTTGCACCACATCCAATCCAGCATTGGTGAAGAACACGATTAAGAAGCTTGCGTACATTCCTGTGAACTTGGACAGTTGCCACTGCTTATACTGTAAGGTTTGCTGTAAGGTAATAAATAAATTTATTATTAATTTTTAAAACTGCACCATTTATTTATAAACACCCTGTATTATTACTTACAGATTGCTCGGAGTACTCGTGTGTTCATTCAAAAGTGTTACACTATAAAAACTACATAAGTATTTAATTTTCCACATCTAACAACTCTAATTTTTTCATTTCTGAATGGTACTTTCTTAGTTCTAACAAGTCCCCACTAGTGGCCAAGTGGATGGAAACCTTAACACTGGTTCATGGGTTCGAGCATCACCAACAGATTTTGCCACATGCAGTTTTCTGGGTTTTCTTTTCATTAGTGACACCTAAGTAGGGACGAGTTTCTCAGTTTAAAGTCCTCCCAGGAGGCAGCCCCTTGGCAGAATTGAAAATATGATATCTTAAATTTAAGATATATTTTCAAATACCGGTTTACTTGACCAATGAAATTTTGCCATTTCATACCATCCAAGTATCATGATAAACATGATAATCGTAGGCTCTTTATATGATTTTATTTTAATGTTTTTTGTTGTTATTTTTTGCCTGTACAACACTGGGCTTATCTACTATTTATCTGATAAATAAAAAGTTAACTATAATTGATTCTGCACTGCAATGAAATTCGTGGTTGTATCAGAAGATATATTAGTGTGCATGAATGCCAAGCCATGTCACTCTGTACACAGTTCAATTAGCTGTGGGACACAATGTTGTCAGATGCTAAGCCTATGTCTATTGCATTTATAGTTTCTTTATAATGACTAAGTGTGTTGAGCAATTAATTTGCCTTAAATTTTGAAAACAATTGAACATTCATATGCAGAAACAAACTTTTGGGGATAAATCTATGGGCAAAACACAAATTAAGGAGTGTTTTCAACAATTTAAGGATGACTATGATTTAGTTGAAATGATTTCCACTTGGACAAGCTGCATCAACCATAATGTCTGAAAATGTGGAATTTATGTGCACTACAATCAATGAAGATTATACAGTAGTTTGACTGTATGAAAGTTTGAAGATTTTGGCATTCCAAAAAACCATTGTTTCAGAAATTCTAATTTAAGGTCTCGTTTAAAAGAACCTCCAGATGGAGATTCCCCACTACTGTACATGATAAAAATGACTAACAGTGACTGATTTTCTCAAAAGGATAATAATGCCTAATAATGAATCATTGGTCTTGGTTATGACTCTGAGACAAATACCCAGTCTTCTTAGTGAAAACACCAGAAGAAAGAAGAACTAAGAAAGTTGGAGCAATGTCAAGACAATGCTTGCTGTTTTCTTGGATCATAAAGGCATTGTTCACCACAAATATGCTCCATGAAGTCAGACAATGAACAAGGAGTACTACCTGGGAGTTTTGAAGAGATTGAGAGGTGCAGTGAGAAGAAAATGACTTAATCTCTTAAAAAGTAGTAACTGGCAACTTCATCACAACAATGTTCCTGCTCACCCAACATCTCACCTCATCCAGGATTATTTGGCAAAACACCAATCACATAAATTTGTCAATCTTCATATAGTCCAGACATCACTCCCTGCAACTTCTGCCTGTTCCCAAAACTGAAATTACCCTTGAAGGAAAAGAGATTTGAGGATTAGAGCAGATCAAGGAGAATGTGGCAAAGCAACTAATGGCTAATCTGAAAGCTGAGTTTGTAAATTGCTTTAGGAAGTGGAAAGAATATTGGAATAAGAATGGAAATACTCTTCTTGCTTCCCAAGGAGAATACTTTGATGGGCACTGTTGTTTTAAGAAAGTGATGGGCAAACATTTTTAGGAGTGAGCCAAAAAACAAAAGAAAAAATTTTGGTGGTCCAATATAATTTATTATAAAATACAATAAAGACAAAAATAGTATATTTTGAAAATTCTTTAATACTAATGCAATGAATAAAGCTGTGACTGTATTTCTGAAAGTTCAAATATGCAAAAATGGAAGACATCCTTAAATGAATTATTTTAAAACATTGAAATTGAAAATTTCTGTACTACTGTTTTAAAATCTGTGGCAGACCAGATAGAACTTCTAGGTGGGCCACAGTTTGTCCATCACTATTCTAGGTAATTATTAGACAAATCAGATATATTTAATAAATTTATTGAATGTTTAAAGAAGTATATAAAAGATTTTAAATTAAAATTGTCATTTTATTTTATTTTTTTTGTTACTTTAGCAATTTTTTTATAAAAGTCTTTCCATTATAAATAATCTCAATAATAAAAAATACTGTTTATATAATTAACCTTATATACATTTTTTTTGTATAGAACTACTAATAGTAAAGCTGATAAAAGAAATAGAAAATTTAAAGAAGCTGAACGACTCTTTTCTAAATCATCAATCACATCAATAGCAGTATGTTGAACTTATTTTTAAATTTATAAATTCTATTTTAAATGATAATAAATGAATAAGTATTTTTTACATTTCAGGCAGTCACTGGATTATCAGACAAAGATGATAAAGGTAATATCATTTCTATATTTATTATTTATCATTTATATATTTATTATTATTCATTAATTAAAATAATAATGAAAAAAATTTATACAGTACATAGTACAGTAATAGCTGATCCATTATCCTTCCTGATTCTTTTAACCATTGATGAACATAATCTGCCAGTTAAATATTTTGGCATATTTTGGTTAAAAATGTTTTTTTAATAGGCCTACCCAAATATTATTAAATTCATTATTTTAATTTTAATACAAATGATATATTTTGAATATAATATAGTTCTGTACTGCTAGATTTATGATTATATGAATAACCAAGAATAACTGTTTTAGTGGGTATTAACTCTTATTCCATCTTCAGGTTATAAACTTTAAATCAGTGTTTCTCAACCTCTAACGAATCGTCGTCCCTTCAATAAAACCGTTACGTAGTATCGCCCCCTTCATTGCAAAATTCCGATGCCGAGGGACAAGGCTAATGCCAAATTCGTACTGCATTGAATAGACTAGTGACTAGTATAATGTTATTTGTTTAATTATTGTACGATATAACGAATAAAATATCTAATTATTCTTAATATAATGTTTTACTATATCGCCCAGAAAATTGTTTTTCGCCTCCCAAAATATAAATTGTTGCTAATCGCCCCCTGAACATGGAAAAACGTCCACATGGGGGCGATATCGCCCCCGTTGAGAAACACTGCTTTAAATCAAACAGTTTAGAAATACAACAGAAATAATGTAGAACAGAAAATATAAGAATGCTGAACCATTTTTAATTAAAACAGAAAATAATAAAATACAAAATAAAAATAAATGATATAAACACAATTAATACATAAATAAAAAATGTAGCTGCAAAAGCACAAAAATAAAGAATAAAATAACCAAAAAATAAAACCAAATACAGGCAACCCTAATGTAGGGAGATACATGTGACAAAAAATGGCCGTTCAGGTTATGCAATGTCATACCAAACTCTCCATGCTGAAGAAAGCATCAATATATATAGCAGTGCTTCAGCATGTCAGTATGGTGCCAGTTTCTCACTCTGTTGGTGATTTTAGCTTGTTCTCATTGTACTTTGACCAAATCTGCTAAATCATAGGCTGTCAGGGCTGTGAGAGGAAGACTTTTGTACTGTACATTGTATTTGTGATCTTTCAAGAGTGCACTAAGAGATCTTAAGGAGCTTGCTCCCATGTATATGAAGTAATGATCTACTCTATTGTCCATAATAGGAACAGTGTACATTCCAGGAATGCTCATGAGATCATGTGGGCCCTTATTACAGGATCTTGTAGATTGTGGGATTTCTCTTGTACAAAATTCTTTTACACCCAGCTTTTCCAACTTAAAAATGTTCTGAAGGAGATGGAAGTGTAATCCTCTACTGTGTAATCATCATTAGAAGTATCCCTTTGTATATGCATTCCATTTATCCTGGAATTTATTAATAAGGTCTTTATGGTCTTAAGACTATAGCCAAAACAATTCCCTAGAGATTTGATGAAGTTTTATTCTTCTATCTGTCACGAATGTCAGAGCAGTGTATGTAGGTCATTCTGATCAAGACTCTGGAGGCAGCAAGCTTGTAGTGAAGAGAGTTGTGTGAGGCCCAGAAAATAAAAAGAAAGTTTTGAAATGTTTTGGTTTTGATTATACTACTTTTAAGAGAGATTAAAGTGGGTGTCAATGGCACTCTCCTGCTCCAAGTTTAGAGTGAGGCCATAGAGGTTACTGTTGACATCATAAACAAATTTATGTACTGTACATCTGGTGTTTTTTTCCATATAACCATAGTACATTGTCAATACATCTGGCATAGATGTAGATGTTTGAGCAAGATGGACTTTTCCAAGGATCTTAATTTTATCATATAATTTATTCATTAATATTATCAAAATTGAAAGATTATTTATGTTGATAGTTATTAAAGTGTTATGAAAAAAAATGTGTTATAGATAAGGAAACATTGATCATCAGTTTTCTTGTGATATATTTATTTTATTAAGAATTTCTATATGTATAAAAACATATAGAAATGTGTAATAAAAGACAAATGAATATTAATATCTATATTATTTTATTTTATCAATTTTTAATGTATAGTCAGAAATTTTACCTTTTAGAAGAGTAAATGAATATATTAATATTAGTGAATAAATTGTGTGATAAAATTAAGTAAGTAACTTTTAATATTATATATTTTTAACATTGCATGATAACATGCCTTGTTTTTTGTATTTCAAGCAACCACAAAATTTTACCACTGGCAAAACAATACTGAGGAAATGACATGAACTATGCATACACATAGTTGATGCTTAAGAGCAATATTTTTTAATCATTTTTTGTACCAAAGTTAATTTTAAAATAAATTCAGTAGAATATTTATATCATACTATGTTAGATAACTCAGGATAATTGTTTTTGTAATTTTCGTATCTGATCTAACTGCAAAGGGTCTATTGATTGTTTTCACATTTTAATTTTTTTAACTACACTGCATTTGGGAAATGAAGTCAACAATTTTTTATAGTATAACTTAAGTAATATAAAGATTCGCTAAACAATTTTTGAAATTGTTGCTCTGTCCTAAACCAGTGGAATTGTTTTTTATATTTGAATTTTGTCAAAAAATTTTCTAATATACATCATCATGTGTGCTTTATTTTTTAGGTAATGACATGTTTTTTTTTTATTTTGCAATTTGATGCAAGGAAACACTGATAGTTTGAAAAATCAAAAATCACATTTTTCACATATAACCTGAAAATTCATGAAAAAGTTTGGATCAATATTAGGCTGTAATTAATCATTCATTGATACCTACTTTTGGGCCAATTTTCATTCCATTATCTGTATGGGTCCAATTCATCATCATTATCTTGTTATGGTCTTTAATAATAATAAACACCATTTGTGAAGTTTTGTAACTTTCTAAAAATTGAATTATTATTGATCTTTACTAATAGTCATAGTGGTTGTTAAGTATTGACTCCAAATTAAAGATTCAGGTCTGGCTATCTAGTTACACACATTTAGAGAGTTTATATATCAGGTCAGTCCATAAGTTCGTGCGCATTTTTATCTACAAAAAAAGCAACAAAAAATTTTAATTAAATTTTATTTCAATCTATAATGTATTCACCATTATTTTGTACAATTTCTTGCCATCTTGATGGTAGCTTTTTAATCCCGTCTTTGTAAAATGATTTCGGTTTTGAATCAAAATATTCAGAAATAGCCTTTTTTACATTGTTCTCATCCTCAAAAGTTTTTCCTTTTAAAAAATTCTGCAAACTCCGAAAAAGATGATAATCACTGGGAGCAATATCTGGCAAATATGGTGGATGAGGTAAAATTTCCCAGTTGAAGCTTTTGAGTTGAGCAGTTGACGTTGTTGTCAGTTAGCTATTGACAGTTCATGTGGTATCCATTTTCCTAGCTTTGAAACTTTTCCGATTTGTTGTAGATGTCTATGAACAGTTCCATGGGATGAATTTAAACGTTCCGCAATTTCATCAACTGTTAAAGATGGTTCTGCTTCAACTAGTGCAGAGAGAGCATCATCATCAAAGTCAACGGGTCTTCCAGTACGAGCCTTATCCTCCACACTAAAATCATTATTTCTAAATCTTTCAAACCACTTCTGCGCAGTCCTTACACTAATTACAGTTTGATTATGAACAGTATTTAATTTTTTGGCTGCATTTGTAGCATTCTCATCACTTAAAAATAAAAAGTATAAAACACGTCTCTTATATTCATCTGTTACTTCCATTTTAACGAAAATAAACAACTGAAATGTTTCCAATTCTGAACAGTATTATATGAATGAGATCCAATTTAACACTTCAGTGTAAAAAATATCACATTAGACTGGCATTTTTAACAGCAAAACAAGATTTTTCTCAAGGTCATAAAATACGCAGGAACTTATGGACTGACCTGATATAATTGTAAGTATAAGTAAACTTTATAAGATGCATACCCCTACTCTTAACTTATTATTGTAATATCACTTCATATTGATATTTGATGTACCATACTTTCTAGCGTATAAGACAACCCCTGACTTTTACACTTAAAATATAGAGTTTGGGATATACTTGCTGTATAAGACTACCCAGCCTGCCCTTGTATCCTATTACCTTACCTCCTTCTCTGCCTCTCAGATCTCGCACATGCATGCCTGCGCTGCTACACTGCAGTCCTCAGGAGCGAGATCTGAGAGGCAGAGAAAGAGGTATGGTAATAGGATATATACAAGGGTGGGCTAGACAGATGAAAGATGTGTGTTTTTCTGGGCACAGCACCACTCTATCTCTATCCATACCGCGGGCATCCCGGCTGACTGCAGCACTCGCCCTATAAAATGACACTTGGCGTATAAGACGACCCCTGACTTTTCAGAAGATTTTCCTGGGTTAAAAAGTCGTCTTATATGCCAGAAAATATGGTATATGCATTTTTGTGGTATTGATATTACAATTTTTATACTTTTAATATAGTTTTTGAATTAAATTGATTTTATTTGTTGTTCTTAATTGTAACTATGTAAAAATTTCAAAGAAAAGAAGATAATTCTATCTTATTAGTTTGTTTTAATTGATTTTCTTTCTTTGAAATAATTATTTCAGAAATTTTTGGAAATATTTTTAATTCTTAATTTTATTAAATAATAAGTAAAATTTTATTTTATATTAAAAATTCAAGCTGTTGTTTTATATCAAGATTTATATATTATGTTCTATAAACTTATCATTTTTTACTGTTTTTTTTTAATAGGAGAAATTTGCAGTGAATCAGAAATTCAGGTTAATAATAGTGGAAGTGAAGAAAATATTCCACTCACTGAATCAATGGTTAACTCTGTGGATAGAACTGGAATGTCATCAACTTCAAGTAGTAGCAGTAGTTCATCATCGTCATCATCAATAGCTGAGAGTCACTCACCACAAAGTTTTTTAGGTAGTCCCCCAGCAAAAATTGCTAAAACAGCACCAAGAATGAAGAAGAATACAAAAAAATTAAGACACAGGTATCTCTTTGTGTAGGCTACCCAAATATTTACCCAAATAAAAACATTTTTTTATACTTATAGTTTATAAAATTAATATTTATCTAATAATTAAGTTTATTAATATTTTTATATAAAAAAGGGTAATGCTTATTAAATACAAAACATCTTATTGCTGCTAATTTACTAAAATTTAATAAGTTTCATTAATTATATTATTGTGTTGTGTTGTGTGGCAGTTCCTTGAAATAGTTAAAATTTTTATTACATATTGTAGGACTCTGGCCCGACACCATTTCACTTTGTGATATCTCCCCCATCTATCTTGCAATTTATAATTATACTTTATACAAACAATTATAAATAAGAAAAGTAATGGCTGGATGGCTGAGTGGTCAAAGTGGCAGCCTGCCAGTCTTTAGGTTCAAATCCAGCGGGCCAAAATATCCCCAGGAATTTTTCAGGAGGTGGTTCATCCAGATAATATGTTGGCCCCGTCCCTCATCACCTGGCCACCCCAATGTAGACCTGATCAAACCCATAAAAGATGGGCTTGCTAAAAAGAGGCCCTCTTAGTGCCAACAGGGCAAAAACAGTTTTAAAAAACAAAAAATACATAAGAAAAATGTAATAAAGAACAATTAATGATAAGACGAAAGAATGTAGTTTGAAATAATGCAATTCAAATTAATAATGAGCATCTTCAAAAAAAAAAAGGTAGTTGACCTTAGTGTTCTAGGAAGTATCAAAAATAGATCTTTAATACTATATAATGAATAAACTAAATTTTTGGCATTTTAGATTCTTAGATTCAATATCTTTTTGACTGTGTTATTTTACTTTTCTGTAAGAACTTATTCATGTAATTATGAATGAGTTATTGGTGCCAATGTAATTTTATTATCTGCATTAATGGTTACAATAAAAAAACACACTATCTTTGGGATGAAATGTATTGATCTAAATATATAAAATTGCTTGTCCTGACTAACTGGCTCACTCATTCACTCACTGATTCATCATCGCCCAGAGCAGACCACTTAACCTAAAGAGGTGAAATTTGGTAGACAGTTAGGGTACGTCATGGAAACACACACTAAAGAAAGGATTTTTCGAAATTCCTCCGCAGGGGGAGAGGGAGAGGATTAAGGCTTAACCAGAAGATCTGTATTATTTTAGATGCAATTTTTTGTTTTTATCTGCATTTTAGTAGGGTATGCCATGGCAATGCAGGCCAAGAAGGGATTTTTCGAAATTCCTCCGCAGGCGGGAGAGGGAGAGGATTTAGTCTTCATTGAGTACTTAGGTGTATTAAATTAATAACATTTCAGACATTGTTATAAATATTTTTATCTATTTCGATTTTAAAAGTGTTCGAACCGTTTTAGATTCAAATTTGTTATTGCCTATTGATTCGATTATAGAACGATTGTAAACGTTCCAGAAAATTGATCAAATTGAAAATAGTTCGTTTGATTCTCGGCAATTTTCATCATTCTCAGCGGTAGGTGTTATATAACAATTACTATGGTTATTGAAATATTGAATGTAAATGGGGTTTGCTTACAAAATCTCCGCAGACGAAGTCGCGGGTAACAGCTAGTTAATAATAAAAGTACTATTGGATCATCTTCAGGGCATAAGATTCTTAAATAAAATCATAGTGTCTTTAATGTCTAGCAAAGATTTTAAAAATAAATAAGCATTTGTCTATCTCCAACTAACAAACATTACAAAAAACTACTTTAGGCTTAGATTAGTAAAACTTCTTTTAAAACTAAATGTGACAATGTGCAAAGCACCCCCTATTCTTTGGCACCACAGAACCGAAGGGTTGACATCACGTCAGTGAAGACTGCAATGACTAATTCATCAGGACTGACACCACTGTGTCTTCTGGGTAGGCACAGAGACCATTACGTTTGCCTTTAAGCGTGAGTGGTCACGTCTGTGGGTGGTTGGACTCAGGATGGAGACTGATTGGGCTAAAGAAGTGCACTTTACAAGTTATAACAAAACTGCCTGTTTATTAATCAAAATTATAGCAAGACATATATTGTTACACAGATGCTTAGCGAATGCTAATAGTTGGACATACAGCATAATTACTACAACCCTGACAGAGAGAGAGAGAGAGTTCACATTAAGTCCGCATGAGGATAAATACCTTTAAAGTTTGTAGAGATTGAAATATGGAACTTTCTAGATTGAGGGAGTCACTGTCCTCTGGATTAGTGGGTTCTTTCGATGAATGGAAATAGATGCTCAGGAGTGGCAACGGTATCGGCTAGAATCAGCATGGCAGCGGCGATGACGAGCAGCTGGTCGCACACACATAGTTCAAAAAACAATTGGATGACTCATCGACCCCTCCTTTTTATTAGGGGGTCTGTCCTGGGTTTTTCCCATGGCCTTATTAGGAGTTTTTCTACAATTGTCCAATAGTTGAATTTTGTTTGTAGATACACACTAGGAAGCTGTGTCACCCCCAAAAGGAAGTGAATCCGGAGAAAGATACGATCGCATCCTTCCAGATTTTTATTAAGTATTGGGGAAAAGTTCTTTTTTTTTTTTTTAATATAATTATCATTATTTCATTTTATTTTAAAACAAACATGAAAGTTTATAAAAAAGAAAGGTTTTATCAGATCTGGATCTGATAAACTCTTATAAACCTTTCTTTTTTACTCAGCACTCACATAAATAAAGGTCAGTTCATACTTTCTGAGCATGGAAAAGAGAAGAGAACATATCTTCTCTTTTATTAATCTCCTCCATGAACATTCATACTTTAAAAGAATGAAAGAGAATTGCGTATGTTTTTTTGGTACTTGCAGTTTTAAAATAAAGCTTCAAAAATATAGTGAGTGAAATCTGAGTCATAAAATTCTTGAAAAGTTAGAGTAAATATGGTTAATAGAGAGTTTGCGGCTGAAGTTCAAACGTTAAACTTGTACGGCAAGCAGAAGTACACATTTGACGTTTCAACTCCAAGTAAAACACATTGCGCAACACGTTCCATCACACACTGACTCATGTGATATTGTTGAAAATTGGCGGAAACATTTAACAACAACGAATGTTACCAGCGAAGGTAAATAAACAAATTAAACTATTTTAAAATATTTATAGGATGTTTAATAACACTAAATAATTATTTTTAATTAGTGTCATGTCTCCTACTGTACAATAGGACAATAGGACTATCTCATACTTTTGTTGAGGGAAGTAGTGGCTTATGTAAATTAAAAAGCAGCTCAGGAAATTATTTTTAGAAAATTTACAAATGTATTATGCTGCTGATGGTAGAAGATGCTGTGAAAGAACAAACCTACTCCTACAAAATTATGATAAGCTATTATGAACACAAATATATGTAAACTCTATAGGCACTTCACATCACTTGCAAAAAAATTTAATAATTAAATAATTTCTGGATTAAAATTGTCTGTTTCTTACAATATTATTCATAAATGCTGAAATAATCATTATTTTAATAAAAGACATCATAATTTTAACCCTACACACAAAAAAATGAAGAAGTTTAAGCTGAACTTCTACTCACTATGCTAGACATAGCAAATGCCATTGTCAACCTTCTAGACGTGCCAGATTGCAGCACTCAATGTCTGACGTTCACGTTTTTGCAATGAAAATGTTGGCCACAACCTCTCTAATTAATTCAAGAGAGAACAGAAACTATTGTAGCCTTATAAAAGAAATTAAAAAAGATGATCCCTAAGTTTCAGTATTTTAGATAAGTTTTAAATAAATATATATATATAGGCCTACATATCTATATGCAATATCTATTTAAATATGTTTTATCTTAAAATATAAAAGTGATAAATTATGATTGATCAAAAATAACTCTGCTCTAATTCTAATAATTTCAATTTTATCAGTCTCCTTGTTGAAGAATGCAAAGCTACCAACAGAGAGAAAAGTAGAACTTCTGTTGACTTTTCTCTCTTATTAACAGAGAACAGAAGTATTTCATTAATAATGCACAAAGTGTTATACACTAAATCTATTTGGGGTCATTTTTTCTTCTCTTTTCCATTCTCGTGAAGTATGAACCCACCTCAAAGGTTTTCTTGTTTGCAAGAAGCTATCCAACATCATTGATAAAGTTTTGTTATCTTTTTTTATTCATTACATTAGAATTTACATTCTATATTTTTCAACACATTCTAAATTTCTATTAAAAGAAACAAAAATTAAAAATGTACTATCTATGGTGTTCTTCAGAAAGAATGAAGTTTGACTTGTCCTCTTGCTCCCTATAAACCTTCTCTTTGATCTTCTTCTTCTAGATTTACTGTGTTTTCTAGAAAAGGCTAATAGGAGGGGCAAGAGGCTAAGTTGATTTAAGTTGAGGAGGAAGGAAAGAAGTAAGAAGAGAGAGGAAGTTCCAAACATAGAAGAAGGCTTAGATCTTGAAGACAGCACAGTAGAAGCAGAATTTACTATTTAATTAATTAGAATTAATAATTGTTAAATCTGTCAAAATATTTTCTGTACAGCTGCTTTGCATACAGATTTAAAAATTATTCATATTAAATATTTTTAAAATTAGGTATTGAGAATTGTATTTTATAATAAATGCCAATCACTGTCAAAAGCACTGAAAGATGGAAATCTTGATGTGATTCTAAATCCAACATTTTCATTGACATTTTTATGATATTAACAAAATGTCAGGATTTTGATGGTTAAGGTATTGAGTTAATAGTACTTCATTTCTCTATTACATGAAAAAATCTGATTATTACATACAAGTATGAAGACTTAAATTGATTCCAGACTTCCTGTGTATTAATTTATATATATGTTGAAAGTTTATAAATTTAAAATAATGATTACTCATAAATATCAATTTATTTGTGGTAAAATTTTATAAATACCAACATTTTTGAAAAGAATTTGATTTTTGTGTTAATGACTGTTTATAAACACCAATCAAAACTGGTTATACTTAAAAACAAAATAAACCAATATCAAGCACAAAAATGTAAGTAAGTCAGTGAGGATGGTTAGATTGCACCTTACATTTTTGTTCTGGATTTTGGTTTATTTTGCCTTTATTTATTAATGACTATATGTTTTTATAAATATAATCATAATATTTATTAAATAAAACTAAACTTAAATTTGTCAAAATTATACTCAGTACAGTTAATTGGTTACATTATAGCTCAGTTAAAATCTGGCTGTATCGTTTGATTATTAAAACATTTAATTAATTTGATAAAACATTGTTTAAAAATAAATAATTTGGAAAATTAGAATTTCTATTTTATAGTTGCTCTAATAATTGTTAATAATTTTTTTTTTCAGATTTGAAGGAAAATTAAAGAAAGGAAGAGGTAAATAACTCAAAATATTTTACACAGCCTTAAAAAAAATGATATTTTACGAACAATTTTAATACAGTCAAACTTCCATATTATGAACTTCTATATAGTGAATTTTTTGTATAACAAATTTTTGCATTGTATACTGCTCTTTCAGCCAAAAAATATGTGTAATATTGCTTCTAAATAACAAAGTTAAATTTCTATATAATGAACGAATTTGTAAGAACTATTGATCATTAAAAGTCGATTACTCCCATCTGTGTTGAGTTCAAATTTTGGTTCAATTTCAGGTGTAACCATTTGTAAAGCCACATCCCAAATGTGAGAAACAATGGTAATTAGCTTTTAAAATCATGTAATCTGACCCTCCACATAGTAAAAGAGGAGGAGAGAGATTAGAACCAAATGCAGTTGTTGATAGATAAACGATTTATAATTAACAAATGTCAAAAATGCTAGAAAGCTGATAATTTTGACAACTGCTGGACTAATTTTTTAGGTTAGTGAGATTTTATTTTATTCAATAAGTCTTCCAGTTGAAATTTGAAGAACTGTTAATATAATGTTTAAGCATTACTAAGAAAAAATTAATGTGTTGCAGATGTTGATAAAGGCTCAAAAAATAAAGACATTGTAGCAAAGTTTGGAATTCCCATGAGTGGTTCATCAACCTTAATAACAAATCACAAATCAATTTTGAAATTAGCTGATGATGCAAGACTTACATGAAAATGTGCTAAAATCAGCATTTACATTGATGTAGATGAAGCAGTTTTAATGCTCTTAATAAGTGTGAAACATATTACCAAGAGAGAACATTTTTTAAATTATTTAAATTAATTGTTCTGTGCAACAAAAATTACAGTTGTTTTTATGAAAATGTAATTAAACTAAGTTGTAAGTATTTTAACACAAAAATGTAAACTTAAACTTTTAAAATTAAAACTATGTTTATATTACATTATTAATGTATATTATGTTTATATTAATTTAAATTACATAAAATAACGAAGAAATTACGTTAAAATAATACTTTATTTACCAAAAGATGTAATTTCTGTATAATGAAATTTCCCTATGGCAAATTTTTTTCAGGATTTAGTGACTTCATTATATAGAAGTTTGACTGTACTTTTAAGTTTTATCAATGTTGTAGTTTCATAAATAATATAAATTAGAATTTTATGTGAGAAATTTCTTTGATGACATATAATATTTTGATGTAATTCAAAATTTTATGAAAGCAGAAATTATTAACAACAAAAAATAGCTTTATATACATGTTTTTTATGTTTCAAACAAAATTAATGTTGAATTATTAGAGAAAAATTCATATAAAATTGGTGGAGAATGCAAATTTTTGTACAAAACTTCTTATATACAGTGGAAATTAAATAAATTTAATGTCAGAAGACCGTACATTTCCTTTCTTACACTATATTTGGCATCATATATGAATATATAAATTTTTACAGTACAATCATGGAAACTCAATTATCCAAACTAAACTTGATGAAACCAGGAGTCTATAGGATAATCCAGAAACTCATTTGTGTCTTCAGTACATCAATTACTGTAATTTAAAGTTTCGTGAACTATAAATTCTCTAATTTAATTACTGTATTTGAAAAGTAAATTGATTAACTCAAAATCTGACATAATGTTATATCTAAGACCTAGTTTTAGGACACTGCAATTGACAGATGGTGTAGTAATTTCTAGTTACACAGAGTTTGCTTTCTGTATATTATACTCTATAGTATAATTGGGTTGCTAATGTAATGTACAATTTTTCTTACAATTACATATTTTTGGAATAAAAATTATTTTCTACAGCAGCATATTTCCATTAGTAATAAGCAAGGCTGTGAAATCAGTAAAAAAGCACTTGACTCCAACTTCGACTCCTGATAATTTTAGTAGGCTGACTCCCAACTCTGGCAAAATTAAATACAAAGTCATTTTATGGGGAGGCAGAGGTGCTCATAGGGGGTACCCTACTCTGAACTCTGAAAGGAGCCCATATCTTTATTCTACATCATTTGCACTTCAATTTCACCCTTCCAGAAAAGTTAGTCCAACTAAAAAGTGTGATCTAGCTAGTTCAGCCCTTGTTCAGAAAAGAAAAATATATACTCTGATCAATTAGTCTGGCTCATTCAGAAAAATAGAGTACTTATTTAGAGAAGGGATGATAAAGGAATGATTCAAAAATATTCAAATTCAATTGGGTCAAAATAATTTAACTACTAAACACAAAAAGAGAGAAATGCTGGATGTCGGAGTTGGAGTCAAGAAAAGTGTTGACTTTGACTCCAGTAGTTTGGACAGACTGTGACTTCAAATTAATTTTCATATTTTTTTTTTTACTTTATAATCTATGTATTAAAAGTTTTATATAAAGACTATGATAATTAATAAATCAGTAACCTATTGAAAATTTTATGCCTTTATTTTATGGACTTTATATCTAAAAATATAAAGTCCATAAAATAAAGGCATAAAATTTTCAATAGGTTACTGATTTATTAATTATCATATTCTTTATATAAAACTTTTAATACATANTATATTAAATATATGTAATATATTTAATTTTTATAAAACAAATCTATAATTATAAAGAAAATTATACATATAACTCTTAATGTACTAGTACATAGTACTTGAATTGCACAATTTCAGTTTAACATGATATTTTAAGATGTAGTAGTTTTATTGATAAAATTTGTTTAGACCTATGCATACTATTATGACATTGCAGTCATGTCACTACTACTTTCTACTTATACATTCAAAAAGAGAGAGGCTTTTCTATTTTGTACCATGTCTTGACTTCATACTATATGCACTAAAATTAGCTCATATCTGGAAATTTGTAAAACCAAACAACATTGAGCTGCTTTGCCACAATTATATTTAATTAAATTGATTATGTATCTGGAAATTTATTAAAAATATTTTAAATAAAAATAAGAAACAAGCTTTAATAATGGATTTTATTGAGCCAAGACTATCAATGCATTCAGTAAATTACATAGAAAAAACAATTGGAATTGTAGTTCATAACAGATGTGACATAAGATTTACAATTGGAAAAAGAAGAAAATTGTAAATCTTATTTCACATCTGTTTTACAGAAAAAAATTTTGTTTTTGTTCATTTCAATTGGTTAATTAATACAGGGTGGTTATAATTAAAGTTGCCCTACTCAGACCTGTATAGAGCCCATTCTCTTTTATGTATTTTGATGAAACTTGGTGTATATGTTTTATGGACCATGGGGAAAAGGAAAATGCAAAAAAAAAATAGTTAGTTCAAATTTCTACTACTAAGTGAAAAAATGGCGCATGTAGAACAAGAAACACAAAATGGAAACACAAAAAAGGGTTTTATTCACAAAATTTGTTCAGTGTGCAATCCATTTGCATCAATCACATGTTCAAAGCACCTTACAGCATGTTCAACAGTAGCCCAATAGGTTTCTTGAGAAATTGCAGCAATATGGTGTGTTGTGCTTACTTTCAATTCAGGCAAAGTTTGTATGCTTCCTCTATAGACACGATCTTTCAGATATCTCCACAACCATACGGACTCTGCCTGAATTGAAAGCAAGCATAACATGCCATATTGTTGCAATTTCTCAAGAAACCTATCAGGCTACTGTTGAAAATGCTGTAAGGCGCTTTGAACATGTGATTGATGCAAATGGATTGCAAATTGAACAAATTTTGTGAATAAAAATCTTTTGCATGTTTCCTTTTTGTGTTTCTTGTTCTTCATGCATCATTTTTTCACCTAGTGGTAGAAATTTAAACTAATTACTTTTTTTTGCATTTTCCTTTTCCCCCATAGTTTGTATAATGTATATACCAAGTTTCATCAAAATACATCAAAGAGAATGGGCTCTATACAGGTCGAGTAGGGCAACTTTAATTATAACCACAGTGTATAAAAAATGATATCTTGGAATCTAACCCTCCATTTTCCATATAAATATTAAGTCTTTATTCTCACNGTCAAAGAATTCATTTTTAGAAATTAATTGTTTTTAAATCCTTTAATTTTTATTTTTAATCTAAAACATGAAGCTGATGAAATATAGCAACTAATTAGAAAGCTTTTATGAATCTGCCCTGTAAAACATAGTGTGATAGACTTCCATATTACAAAATTCTTTATTAGCTGTCTCACATAGTAGATATAGCTTTTATTTTCAACATTATTTGGGGCACTGCTCTCTTAGTAATCTTTATTGTAAATTTCTCTTTACAATGAATTTTTTTAGTGGAATGTTGAAAAAATATTTTTTTGCATTGTAAAATATTCCTATTTAGCAAAACTTAATTTCTTTATAATGAATTTTTGTAAGCTTGATAAATTTTAAAAATATATCTCTTATTGCTAAAAGTTAAAATTAGGTAAATGCTAACTCATTGCTGCAACAATGAAATATCTGTATTATACTGATATTTTCTCATGACATTTCTATTTGAATAGTTTCAAATAGCAATCCCTTTGGAAAGTATAAGAAATGTCTTTTGAGATGAAATTTTTGATTATTTTAAATTTAAAAAATTAGAATTAGTCATTGAAAGTAAAATAACTTTTGCTAAAAAAATAGTTGATTACTGACTATTTTCAGCATAAATACATAAGAGTACCTTCTGTTTGATTTTTTTCGTATAAAATGCATACATAATACTTTGTTATGAATAGAAATACAAAGATATTTTCATGTAAAGTAAAATTTAATAACATATACTGTTTATTTTCATTGCTGTGTATTTTCTGTAAAACAAATTCTCTGCATTTTCTGAAGACAATTGTATAGAAGTTTAACTATAATTCAATAAATAAGTCAATTAAGTTCTTACATAATGGATTTCTTCACATATGAAAATCTATGTAATTTATATTTAATATTTCATAGTTGGAGTGTAACACAATTTCTAATTTAACTTTTTTAAGCTTTATAGTTTACAGTTTAGATAAGATTTAGTTGGCATATTACTGGCTTATTTAAAAAGAAATGATGAAAATTTTATAATAATTGATTATGAACTTATTTAAAAAAAGTATCATTTTTTAAATAAATATGCAGATAATCTATATCTATATAAATAAATGGGCATGTATGTCCCTATATTTCACTTTTCTGCAAAAACTACACATCGCACGTGAATGGTGTTTGTATGTGGTAGTAGCCCCAAGTCTCCATTCGTGCATAGGGGTGGTTGCGTCTCGATAGCTATAAGGGTGCGGGAGATATGAGGCTGAAAGTGGTTGAAAGTGGCTTTCTATTTCGAATGTTTTGTTCGAATTTGTTCGAATTAAATTCGAACATAAAATTCGAATATTGGTTCGATTATAGAACGATTGTAAACGTTCCAGAAACGTTGAAAATAGTTCGTTTGACT